TCCATTCAGAATCTAAAATGATCGTCAATCAATATAAGAAAACATTAATATAAAATATAAAATAAATAAATATTATTACACTATTCAAAAGTTTAAATATTATAAAATATGCAGTTGTGGTTAAATCATTTTAAAACCAATACAATACTAATCTACTGCCTATTCTATGAGAAATAATAAAATCGTGATGCTTTGATAGATGACACTGTAAGTATTTGGCGGGTAAAAATAATACGATAGCACTCAGTTTATCGCTCATAATCTCACCTTAATTGCTTTTCCGAAATCAAATTATTTGGTTCTTTTTAACACAATTTGCACATACGATTTTTATGTCCTATTAAATAGCCTATATTTATGATTTATAAAACGTATAATATAGCAAGAAAAAAACTTTTTCTCCCAAAATAAATGTGATCAGTAAATCCGATAATTCGAACGTTAACTATATAATACGTAGTAATTTAGCTCAGACGGTAACAAATCTAATTTAATTATTATCATAGTAAATATGTAGGTATTACATTGCGGATCGTGCTATAATATACCTACCAATGTTGACAATTTACAATTTATTTTATAAAGACTTAGTTTAGCGAAGTCATAAAAGTTTAACGATAAATTTGTTAACCCATTTAATTATAAATAATTTATGATCAATAATGAGAAATCATATTTTCTTTAAATTTGTTTTTTAAACATCAAACAATCTTGTTTGAGCAGTGCAGCAGGTGAAATTTTAAATGCACAATTATAATTATAATATGGTAAAGTTCTGATGTTTAAAATCCTATGACATTACACATCACACTTTTAGTGTAGCAAATTATGTTGAAACCATGGAGGAAAGGGTGTGTCGATGGATTAATTTTCATATTTTCATTCGTGGATTTATGTCATGAGAAATTTTTCCGTCTTCCACTGACAGTGATGGTAGTCTTAACAGGTTGCTTGGTGACGGCAGTGGATAAAAAGAAAAGCGATGAATACTTATATATAGCTATATAAGCGAGCGGGTATAGGTGAATTGTGAAAACATTATTTTTTCTCGAGAAGTGCTTCAGGTGGGAAACGTGACGTACACCTCGTTTGTCGGCTATATAATTTTTTGAAATTCAATTTGTAATGTACAGAGCTTTGGCGATTGAAAACAAAGATATAAGGTATAACTTACGGAGATAACGCTCATCGAAATACGTAGCCATAATAATATACATAGTACTACGTGTGTTTGCTGTATTGTATTATTATTATTTATAGTTTGTTATACGTTTGTCTGTCATTTCACGTGATGGTGACAAAAATCCTTTTTGGTCTATAGTATAGACTCTATATTATAGAGCATAATAGGTTCTCAACCTCTTGAGGACTATACCCCCTCTCATAAGTCTCATACTATTGTATTAGGTTACATTTCTGTTCATTACTACAAGATTGAAGTATGATTAATATTATAGGTATATATATGTATATATGTGTGTATACACACGTCGTGACTTTTGTTGGTTATTTAATTAATTTATAAATATAGGAAAAAATATTATTATTATCTAGCATTTTAAATCTATAACTGACATATATACATATGTATTATATACATTATACATATTTATATTTAATATGTGTATAGATTGTATAGATGTTTAAAACCCAATAGTATTCTCTGAATTATTATAAATAACGTATTTACTCAATAATGTTCGATAAAATATAAATAATCAGAAATAATGTTTCCATGTTTTGTGGTATTTTTTTTAAAATTTTTACTTCTTTCTAGGGCTCACTTTCCAGGTTGAGAATCATTTTTATAAAGCAGCGGTTTTCTTAATTTTATATAGATTATGGACCTCTGATCAAGGATTCCTTACCATTTTTTTTTCAAATATTTTTTTTTACTAGGTTCATCTCTTATTTAATAAGATATATTGTAAATAAAAAAAAAAAAATAATAAGAATTCAACATTATTAATGTGCTCATGTCACGTATGTCACATATTGACTTATGTGTTAAGGGCTGCCGTGGAACCTCGACATGAGTGTCACGGACATCCTTGGGGCCGTAGACCAAAGGTTAAGAAACGTTGCTATAGAATATAGATTCTATACTATATTAACGTATTCACTCACTATCATAATATTAATTATTATTATGTTTGTGTATAATATTAATTTTCGAAACGTGGATTATATTGAATGACTGAAAATGTTCGGCTTGACTATCGATGGTTGGATTGGCGTTTCATATAATATATTGGCGAGGTTTCTGGGAGTCCATCTCACTCCTCTACATTTTAATAGTCTCCCTAAAAATGGAATTGTATATACATAATATATCTATGCGTGGGATAATTAAATAAAAATAAGGGTTCAGTTACTTTACTGTAGATTTCGCCAAAAATGCAATCAAACGTCTGTCCACAGTATGAAGCTGTAGTTTTGTCACACACAATTTTTAGAAAAGTTTAGGAGTATAAATACATTAGACATAATTATTGATACTGTTAAACTTATTTTACTCTTTATTATTATCAGAAAATGTTGATTCCCGGTGGTGGAATCTACGATATCATTAGGAGATATACAAGATTTATAGGAGATCTAACCCTTGCAGAGAGGAATTGTGCAAAAAATTAGAAATCAAAATATATTATACACACAACTATACAGATGTCCTATTTTTTTTACCTTCGTCGTACATATTTTATCGTTATATCACTTTACTGTATTAAATAAGGCATAACATACAGGGAGGTTTATCATTGTTTTCTGTTTTAAGTGTTACTTTAATGAAAAAAAAATCAATAAAACAAATATATCGGGTCAATCTGTACATAAAATATACATATTATATTTTTCTACATCATGCCTCATGTCTAAATTTTAAAAGTGTAACGGTTACTAATAAATGTAATTGAGTAGCTGTGCCAAATAAATGTAATTATAATATTACCTGAGTAGGAATGCATTTTATTATAAATACAGTATATGAGTTGAAGTGGAGAGATTTTGTTATTCTCTCTTGTTAAAAACTATGATTAAAAAAACAATACAAATCGTAAACAAATATTATGCCGTAAACAATCCCAAAAACCTTTTTTAGCATATTGAACTCGGTTTTGACCTTTGGTAGTAGAAATGAGTAGCACTTGTAACGTATGTTTGGAACTACATCACACCTAGATGTTCGTGTATAGATTTATAATGTTCAAACTTATAGTAATAACAATTTCTCCGTGATACGTGCAAAAATATACTATGTTATTTTTACAGAAATACTTATACAAATATATAATATATTATAATTGTTTTTATTAACACAAAGATTGTTATGAATGGTTTGCATCAGCAGGTATTGTTAAAATGTATAATATTATAACATTTTCTGTTGAATTTATAACTCAAAAACAAATATTAGAATTTAAATTTTAAAAAACGTGATAAACATTTATGCATTTAATATAATCAAGTTTTTCTGATTATTTTATTAAATACCTAATATTAACAATAATATATTTGACTCATATCTATAAAACAGCCTTAGGCTTTAAAAGGTGAATCAATATTGTAATAATTACTGATTATCTGTTTTGTATTAATTGTTAATTGTTTTTATTAGTTATTATTATTAATAATTAAAAGTAATTTATAAATATTACATTAAAAGTTACATTTTATTAATAATACAATATTTAATACTTATATCATGTATATATTTTAATAAAAATCTAATATTTGAAATACAATTTAACTATGAAAAAGTATATTAGACTGAGCGGACAGATGAATGTATTAATTTTACAAAGATGTGTTTTTTACATGTATTTAAGTTTAAAAAAATACATTGATTTGTAACTTATATATATATTTTTCAATATTTTTTCTGGTAAGAAAGTGAATTTTAGTATTTCGGAGGATCAAAAGTAAACAATTTTATGTTCTTTTCTTAATAATTAAAAAAAGAAAAAACTAAATGAACGCGAGAATTTATCTATGCAAAATCAATAGGTGAAAAAATGTATTTGTTTGATTTTTTTTTTTGTAATTCAAAAACAAATAACCGTAGGTTTAAATTTTTATCAAATGTTTGTAGTATAAAAATGTACTAGTCCTTAGTCCTCTTAGTCTATTCATGCGCCTGCTATCGCGTACGTGCACGACCATACCCCTCCCCTCATTCTATCTATACCTAGAAGCCAATACATATTTTATATTTTAATGTTAATAAGTTGTCAGATAAAATATTGTATAAGTAGCTAGAAAAACATGGCAATAAATCTACCTTTAATATACACACACACACACACACACACACACACACACACACACATATATATATATATATATATATAATGTATATTTTATATTATATTTAAATAAACTACCTATAATTTTCATGAAAAAATATTTAAAATTAATATACTATTAAAGATAACATACGAGTATATACCTATTTTCCAAGTATGTAATATATTATAGAATTTAATGTTAAAATTTACAAATATTTGTTATTATTGACATATTGCTATTTCAACAGGCCGATAGATTTATCTTCGTGTGAATTTTAGGTACCCTTATACCAAAGCTTAGATTAGCCGTTATGTACTATTATTTATACATGAAAGTAAATATATAATTAAATTATGATTTAAAATTTCAGCGTTATAATATAGCATGTATATGTAGTATAAATATTTCAATATTTTTTCACAAACGCGATATATATATATATATAGAATATAAATTAATTTCAATCTTTTATAATTATAACTCATTTTTAATTTTACTGCTATATTTTTTTTTTGCGTTGAACTAAATTTATTTATAATTTAATATACATTATATATAATACCTAAGAAAAAATAATATGATAAATCATATATAATAGTTATTATTTGAAAGCACCAATTTGAAATTGAACATGAAATACAAGGCTTTGTAATAATAACGAAAATAACAAAAAATAGAGATAATACAATATTTAATATTTTGTTTTCCTACAGGTGGAAAATGCAATCAGAATCAAGTTCACTCCATACTCTTACAACAAAGCAAACTAAAAACAAGTAAGTTTTTAAAAATTTATTTTCTGCTACAAACATTATGAAATATGTAATATTACAATCTTACAGACGTTCATAAAATAACTTTATATTTGATTCCAAAATAATCGTTTTCATTTTTTATTTTTACCAACCTATATGGTAGCTCAATTATATATAATTGAATTCCTTAACATAATTTACAAGCATACCTACAAATTATATTCGTTCCCTTTATAGTTACTTTAAAATAGTCACATAAAAAACTATGGAATGAATATAATATCAAATTTATTAGTAAATGGGAGCATTTATTTTATATCTAATCATGAGTAATGCGTTGAGCTTTAAAGCATATTGAAAAAAACAGTAACCAAAAGATAGCATTGGTTTAGGACCTACGTAATATAAATTTGTATTGATGGCACTGTGAACACGGAGTCGCTATACAGTTAACGGCGTTAGCGCCAATTCTTTGATAAAAACAGTGAATTCTATAATTGATTAAAGTGTACCTACTGTTGTTTGTAAAAATCAATTTTCTAAAAATGTAGTATATAATAGTATATCTAATATATGAAATACTGGATAATTCGATATCGCATTACGGTTACGATAATAAAATATAATAATTTGATAAACACAATTAAAAACCTTCATATTATAATATAGTTGAATGAAAAATTTATTTTAAATAAATCTAATTTATACTAACCAAATAAATAAAAGCATAACAATTATATTTACAAAAGAATAAAAATAGAAGGTAACCATTATTTATTAAAATTATTAAAACAGTGTAAGCTGTATAATTACACTATTCTCTAAAAATATGATTAGTAAATTAAATCATGAAAAAAAAGAATTGATATAAATTTTCTCTTGATACCAAATTGCAGTTATTATAACATTATGTATATGTACTTACATAAACTTGTAATTCCGTATGTGTACGTTGTCAATTTCTACTTTCACACGTATGAGCAACAATAATAAATAATAATAATAATACAAAAATAAACTTGAAGTTTAAGCAATAGAATAACTTGTTTTATTGTAGCAGTATATATTCCATAAAATATTCTATTTACTTCATTTAAAAAAAAATCGTTAATTATCCTCAAATCAATTTTGATTTATAAATAATATTAAATGATTAAACTTAAATTTATATAAAATTAATTTTTCTGTTATTAAAGGTTTAAAATTTAAAATTATATTATATAATTTATATTTAAAGACAAAATTTATTACGTTATTATAAAATAAATAATATATTGACATGAAAAGTATATCATATATTGTTCATTAAAATTTAATTGCTGGTAGTTAAGCACTTTTCATGTTTATTAAAACAAATTGCGTAATGTAAAACAATTAATAATAACAGTTGAAAAAACTTATATTAATAATTATTTAAACTATTTTTGTTATTTTAAAACTCATGAATAATTACTGTTCAGGTCGGATTTAAAGTATACTCCATTCACGTTTAGAAGCGACCCGTATGCTCAGTTTTTATTGATGGCACGCAGATCACACATTTAACTGTTTCTACTTAATCAATCACTAGTAATATAAACACAGAATGATATCAAGTCCATGGGCAGAAGTCGGCCACCTAAGTCGCTTCTAAACGTAAATGGAGTATAATAGTAAGAGAAACAAATTGTTTTTAGTTCATCTCATTTTGCGAATATATATTTTATTTGTTTGTTAGAAAAACTAATAAGTAATTCTCATCTTGAAATAAATTTTGTCAAGATTAATATTTATAAAGAAAACAGAGGGAAACGATTTTAGATTGAAGAGTTTAATTTTCATTAATATAATTTTCTTTAGTCCAAGTAATTTACATACTATAGGTAGTATGTTATATGTTTTAATTTACAGGTAAAGAATTTAGATTCAAAAATTAATATATTATTTCTTCAACCCCACTCTCAACTAACTTATTACTTAATATTATTGGTTTTGATATTCAATATACGCAGAGCTATTAATATTTTCTTTTCTATGTAGGTAGGTACAAACATTATTGCTGCCATTAATGTCTAATGTCTATTATTAAATTGTTATTAATTATCGTTTCTATATTTTATAGCATATAATAAAGATGCGTTTGTAGCATGTCTTGTGTTACTAAAACTAATACAAATTAATTGATAAAATAGAAAATGGTTAATGTTGTAAAAGTTTATTTTACAGTAATTATTGTATAGGTACAAAGAGTGATATTCTTAAATTTTTAAATCAGAAATAAATTTTTTCCGGAATTAATAACACTGAAATTTGTATTAATTTACTTGGAAATACAAAATGTTTGTTGTTGCTGAAGGTACAATAATTTGACTACCAATAGTAATAAATGTGTTTGCAAAAGTTTTAAAATTTAATGATAATAATGATGTAATTTATAATGTAATACGTTCATGTACGGTTTATAAACATACTTCAATTTGATTCGTAATATGTTATTTTTCTAAGATAAAAAATCGTTCTTTATTTAGCAAAAGTACATATTATTAAAATAGTGGAAAAAATATGACAAGAATTTGATGGGTTCTTAATGTTCTCATATACTTGGATCCCTATTACCCCCAGTATCCACTTGCTGTGAGCGTAGTAATGAGTATGGTCATTACGGTAACCTATAAAATTAGACAACTAACTTTTTAGTCATTAAAGTAGACGAAAATAGAAAAAAAGTCTAGCTAAATCAAGATAACAAATTTGTATTTCAGGGTAACAGGGTTGGTACTACTATAAATTCCCTGAGTGTTAACGGAATTAATATATGATAATATAATTGATTCTTATGAATTTCTCGATACTCCCAGATCTTCTTTAGCATTCCTCGGAGTATACATCAACTAAAATTTTAGAAAATAGCTAAGGCTAATTCAAAAATTAATTTTAGGGAAAACATTTTATTTTAATACGTTTTGTGAACGCTTAGTAGAACTAATAAAGTTATTTTTTTACGATAAAAAAACAAATTCTGTGGAAATAAAATTTGAAATTTTGCTCATAGTACAACTATCGAGAAAGATGTTATTTGTGAAATGAGTAAATGTAATAGCTTATTCTACAATGAACAAATATTTAGAAGGCTAGAAAGTATTTATAGTTTATACTTTATGTTTATTATACACCCTATTGTCTTTTATTACACTACATACCAATTGCAGCAATATATTGGTTCTCGGAAATACATTTTAACTCGACTGTTGGTTATTTTCTCAACTTAATGTGCAAGCCAAACTCCGGTCGACTTTTTCAATTGGAAGTCGTCTTTTAAGACAAACCTTTCATGTTTAAAATGATAATAGGGTTAACTATTTACGTGGTCGTCACTTTTAAAATGTACTTACCTACTACATAGTTTAATATCATGGTTAACTATCTATCTAAAGGTAGAATTTTTATTTTTATTTTTCAAGTATTTTAAAGTGTAATGATTTATTTTTATTAGGTAAATACTTTTTACTTTTATATTCTATAGTTCTATAAACTCTGTTTGAGTTTATACGAGAGTCAGATTATTGTAAGTCTATAGTCTATATGATCGCTGCCATAACAAACTCTACATCGTTTTTACCATCATTTTATTATTACATACAAATTCTCTTTATATAAATGTATCCCCGCATATGTTGATAAATTAATCATCAAATTCATAAACATAAATGTCTCGTGGCCGACAAATTCAAATAAATATAATAACTTAATAATATAGTATAATTTTAACTATTTATTTGATTATAATATAATTTTTTTTCATTGAACATATTTTGATTTGTTAATTTCTTCAATCGATCGCATTACGTATTTCTGTGCCTTTTCTTTTATTCATTTGGGTATATGTACATATATAATATAGAGATATAAAACATTGTGTTTAAGTTTGAATAAATAAAAAGTATTCAATAACAATTTGAGATTTATTGAAAAAGATAACTTCATGGAAAAAAACTTACAATATAATCATTTAAGTATTAAATTATATTTGCCCATTCTCCATTTATCAAAAGTAATAAACTTTGGAAAATTCGTTCGATATAGGATTTCTTAATCAAACAGAATCATAGAAATAATATTATTTTAATGTTTAATATTTATTCAGTTTATTATTGTATGGTATACAAAATATAAGTTGTGTACACTGTACAGTATAATCAAAGATCGGATAATATTAGAAAGTATATAGATTTATAGATAGATTGGAATATAGAATATTTTGTAAATGTATTTTTGTATATATACATAATAGAAGATACTTTATGACAAAACTTCTAAGTATAAAAATAAGTATAATATTATAATAATAGTTAACAATATGTTAACAGTATAATTAACAATTATAAAAATAATATAATAAAAATAAATTTATCATACTTTGAATATTTATAGTTAAAATTAATTAATTATTGCCAAATTAAGAATTACCTAGCAAATTTTTAGAACAGTACAATTAAGCATACAATAATTATATAATTTAGAAATATTTAAAAGTACAATCAGTAGTCACTGGTTTGAGTAATTTATTCAGCATGTCAAAAAAAAGTTTCAAAACATATTTATTTATATTTTCCAGTAATATCTTAAGTACTGAAAAAACCTTACTAAGAAATAAATTATTTTTTTACAGTTTATTTCGACAACTATAGAAACATTAAGTGGTTAGGCATTATATTTATAAAATACTATTTATGGTATGTTCAGTTTAACTTTTATTATTTTGAAATATCTTGAAAATCATTGATTTATCCTTGATATAAACGTATAGTAGATAACATTTTTAAGTGAAACGCAATTAAATTAATAATGTTTATTGAGAACTACTAAATAGTATGAATATAAGGAGTTTATGTATAGAACAACAATTTGGCATACAAACTGTTTGGTTGCGGGTCAAGAGAGTTCCGGTCGATGACTTTGTAGAATTTGAACACGATCTAAATTGTTTATGATCTTATAAACACATTATATACTAGTAACTGCGATTCATTTTCAGACCATTG